AATGCCCGACTCCATCTTCCCCAAGATCTCCAACGAGGAGACAGCAAAGGCGGCATGGGACATCCTCCAAAAAGAGTACTGTGGAAGTGAAAAGGTACGGGCGGTTAAGCTTCAAACTATTCGAAAAGAGTTTGAGCAAATCTCTATGAGAGTAGAAGAAAGACTCGATAATTTTCTTACTAGATTCACCATTGTTATAAATCAATTAAAAACATATGGTGAAGATGTAACAAATCAAAGAGTAGTTCAAAAAATTCTTATTTCTCTCTAGTAGATATGACCTCATTGTAAGTGTGATAGAAGAAACAAAAGATATGGAGAATGTTTCATTACAAGAGGCAATAGCATCTATAAAGGCGTTTGACCAAAAGCTTAAGAAGAGGAATGAAGCTTCTATCATGGAGAGAGTCTTCCAAAGCTTCAACATGAGCTCAAATTAACAAAAGAGCCAGAAGAAAAAGAAAAAGAAGAAAGGAGGCAAGCCCAATTTTGCTCCAAAGCCTTAACAACAACAACAACAAAGTGGCAACTCCCAACAAGGTAGCAAATCCACATGTAGAACTTGTGGCAAATCTCATCAAGGGAAATGCTGGTTCGAGGGGAAGCCCAAGTGCATCAACTGCTCCAGATTTGGGCATACCAAAGAGCAATGCAGGACTCAAGGAAATCAAAACCAAAATTGTCGGCAAGTCTTTGCAAACCAAGAACAAGACGGCAAAGGTAATGTTTTCTTTGCTTGTCATGGAGGAAAAGATAGTAATGATAGTCTTTGGTATATTGACAGTAGCTGTAGTAACCACATGACCACGAACCGGTCACTGTTGATAGACTTAGACACATCCTATCTTGGTAGTGTTAAGATGAAAAATGGAAATATTGTAAAATCTGAAGGAAAGGGTATATTGGCTGTAAATACAAATAAAGGAAAAATATACATTAAGGATGTAATGCTTGTACCGGGTCTAGAGGAAAATTGTTAAGTGTAGGTGAAATGCTCCTTAACGGTTATTTTTTAGTTTTTGGTGATCAAGCAATGAAGATCTATGATGATAGGAGTTTTAACAACTTGGTGGCCAAAATCAAGATGCAACCCAACAGAAGTTTTCCTCTCTCACTGCACTACTTGAACACTCAAGCTCTAAAGGTTAAAGAGGTGAACTCCTCCTGGCTATGGCACAAGAGGATCGGGCATCTCAACTTCCAAAGCCTCAAGACTCTTCAAAGCAGAGAAATGGTGTATGGCCTCCCAACCATTGAAGGAGTTGAAGGTGTCTACTCCAGTTGCATGAAAGGCAAGCAGCACCGAGGCGAGTTTCCAAAGGAAGGAGCATGGAGGGTAACAAAGCCTTTGGAGTTGATCCATACGGATCTATGTAGTCCAATGAAGACGGAGTCCCTGGCCGGCAATAAATATTTTATCACTTTTATTGATGACTTTAGTAGGATGGACTGGGTCTACTTTTTGAGGCTCAAATCAGAAGCTTTCATCGTCTTCCAAAAGTACAAAGAAATGGTGGAAAGACAAACAGACATAGTGATCAAGAAGATTCGAAGTGATCGGGATGGAGAGTACACTTCAGCAGAGTTTGAGGACTACTGCAGCAACCTTGGCATCTAGAAGCAAACCACATGTCCATACACTCCTTAACAGAACGGAGTGGAAGAAAGGAAGAACCAAATTATCATGGAGATGGCCAAGAGTCTCTTACATGATAAGAACCTTCCCTACAAGTTCTAGGGAGAAGCAGTCAACACCGCAGTGTATCTTCTTAACCGATGTCCAATAAGAGCAATGAAGGACAAGACACCCTTAGAAGCATTCTCAAGTAGAAAACCTTCCTTAAACCACCTTAAAGTTTTCGGTTGTGTTTGTTTTGCTCACATCCCAGGCCAGTTGAGATCCAAACTGGAGGAGAACACAAGAAGGTGTATCTTTATGGGATACGCAAGCCATACGAAGCGCTACAGGCTCTTCAACCTGAAGACTCAAAAGATCATCATCTCACGGGATGTGGTCTTTGACTAATCAGCCAAGTGGAACTGGGATCTCAAGAAGGAGGAGCAGGTGCCCACAAGCTTCATCTACCTAGATTTAGAGAGCACCCAAGATCCAGATCCAGAGCCAGAAGTGCAAACTCCACAATACGGTTCAAGTTCAACAAGCTCCGACTCAACCATACCAAGATCAAGTGCTAGCTCCTCAAGCACACCATCCAACTCTGGTCCTAGTTCTTCTTCCTCCTCAGATAAAACTCCATTAAGATACAGAAATCTTAATGAGATTTACGCTTCATATAATTTTTGCATATTGGAGTCTGAGTCATTTGAAGAAGCCATCAAAGAAAAAGATTGGAAGAAAGCTATGCAGGAGGAGATCTCCATGATAGAGAAAAATGGTACTTGGGAGCTGGTAGAGAAACCTGCAGCCAAGCCAATCATCAGCGTCAAGTGGGTCTATAAGACCAAGCTGAACTTTAATGGGTCCATCAACAAGAAGAAGGCACGGCTTGTGGCGAAAGGCTATTCACAAAAGCTCGGAGTGGACTTCAATGAAACCTTTGCCCCTGTCTCCAGACTAGAGACAATTCGTCTCTTGATTGCTCTAGACTTCAATGAAACCTTTGCCCCTGTCTCCAGACTAGAGACAATTCGTCTCTTGATTGCTCTAGCTGCTGACAAAGGGTGGAAGGTATTCCAGCTCGATGTGAAGTCGGCATTCCTCAATGGGGTGCTACAACCTCAATGGGGTGCTACAAGAAGAAGTCTACATCCATCAACCGCAAGGGTTCAAAGTTGTAGGAGCCGAGGATAAAGTCTACAAGCTCCACAAGGCGCTTTACGGTCTCAATCAAGCACCAAGGACGTGGTATGAAGAGGTCAACTCCTACTTCACCCAACATAACTTCAAAAGGAGCCTTAGTGAAGCCACACTTTACATTCGAATAGATGAGGTAGATATTCTCATTGTAGCTGTATATGTAAATGATATTATCTATATAGGCAACAGTGAGAAGCTTATGCATGAGTTCAAGAAAGACACGATGGAGGTGTACGAGATGGTAGATTTAGGCCTCCTTCACCACTTTCTTTGTATGGGGATCCAGCAGGACGAAGATGGCATCATCATTCATCAGCAGGCCTATGCACAGTCAATTTTGAAGAAGTTCGGCATGGCAGACTACAAGCCCGTCTCTACCCCACTGGTGGTCAGTGATAAACTCAAGAAGGGAGACTGTACCGAAGGAGAAGACCTCAACCTCTATAGAAGTATCATAGGGAGTCTCCTCTACCTCTCTAATACTTGACCTGACCTCATGTTTGCCTCAAGTCTCTTAAGCAGGTTCATGCATTGTGCAACAAGAGTGCACATGAGAGCTGCTGAACGGGTCCTTAGGTACATCCAAGGCACCCAGAATTTTAGGATCCATTTTGAGAAGAACTCCTCAACAAAGATATTCGGATTTTGCGATAGTGACTGGGGGGTGATGAAGATGACATGTACCTCTGGATACTGCTTCACATTCGGATTGGGTGTGTTCTCCTAGGCGTCAATGAAGCAGGAGTCTGTGGCACTATCAACTGCAGAAGCCGAGTACGTGGTGGCTTCTCAAGCAGCATCACAAATCAAGTGGCTGAGGGATGTGTTTGAAGACATTGGTGAAAAACAACTATAGCATACTCCTCTCCTTTGCGACAACAAGTCAACGATCGCAATGGCAAAGAACCCCGTCTTCCACCAAAGGACGAGACATATCAAGAGAAAATACCACTTCATCAGAGACGTGATCGTGGACAAGGAGATGGAGGCCATCTACTGCAAAACTGAAGATCAAGCTGCAGACATTCTCACCAAAACCTTGCTGAAGGATCGCTTCTGCACACTTCGAGAACTAATGGGTGTTAAACCTGCTAACCCTGAGGAGGAGTGTTGAACTAATCAGTGTTTAGCAACCTAAACAACCCAAGAGCCATAGTGTGATATCTGTTGAACTAATCAGTGTTTAGCAACCTAAACAACCCAAGAGCCATAGTGTGATATCCTAGGTGGAAGGGAATCCTAAGAATCAGTGTTTAGCAACCTAAACAACCCAAGAGCCATAGTGTGATATCCTAGGTGGAAGGGAATCCTAAGAATCAAAGTATAATAAGTGGGGTGATATTCTAAGAGATGACTCTTTGTATTCTATGAAAGTAAATGTGTAGAGTATGAAGGGTCATGTATAAATCTATATAAACTCATGAGTGGGAGAATTTGATATGAATAAAAAAAAGCACCAAATTCTCTATCTTCTTCTACATCTCTCTCTAATTCTCTATCATATATACTAGCCTTAGCCAAAGTTTTCTTCACTACTCAGTTCAAAATTACAACACTCTGTGATGTTTCGACTATGATAGATATAAGAATTTAAGTGAAAACACTGCAACATGCATTCAGTTATGATACCTTGAAAATTCAAGAGAAACCCATCTATTCCGCAGCTTTGAAGTTTGAAAATATATATCATCATAGTTTCCGATTAAAAAAATTAAAGAAATTCCTAAAGAAGTTTATTTCCAAGATATTATGGTTCTAGGATTTTATTGCTGCAGCTTCTTACGGAATTTCAAGTCGTGTGTACTACCTGCCTCAGTTTCTTCAGTTTACTTGTTTTTCCCCACACTAGGCTATGTAAATAAACCTTTTATGAACATGAACTCTGTCACGCATGGTACTTATAGATTTTACATGATTAATGAAGTTACATATGCTATTGAAATATATTTCTTTGATCAGCAATTTTTCAGTAACTACAATGCATAACAAGCTGTTTCTCGTAAGAACTAACTTTACCAGATACATTTATAGTGCATTACTTCTGCCATGGCATGCATATTTTATATATATACTTTTGGATCCCATTGTTTGCTATACTTTTTTTCACTTTTGGACTCCATTTTCTCTACATTCTGTTACAGTCAATTACTGGTAACTTGAACTCAGCAAATGCATGTAACAGGTGAAAGGCGTTGTTGAAGATAGGAAAGAAGAACATGCAGTTGATAGTAACCTCATCAATTTTCCGGTTGACGAAGTCAAGAAAGTATTTGCAGTTGCAGAAAAATGTCTAGAACCGGATCCTTTCAAGAGATCAGACATGGCTAGAGTTGTTAAGATGCTCGAGGAAATAAACTCGCAAAAAGTATAATTGGGTTTTTTTTTTAGTGTAAAGAGTAGATTTTTTTTAAAGTCAAATTCAGCACAAGATTCTTTGTGCTTTTGAAAATTCATCATTGAACAAATGGTGGGCTATGTGCATAATCATTATCCATTATTACTTTGTGCTGCATATATAATTACCAAATCCTCAGACTAATCCACATAATGCAATGTTATTGTTAAGTATGCCTCCAAAGCCCAAAGGCAATTATGACAAGGATATTGCTCTCGTAACTGCCTCAACGCCGCATTATCACTGGTTCCTTTTGTGATTATCATGGCCTATCATTGGCAATATAAATTTCTATGCTCAACTGTATATTCCCTAAATATTTTTTTTTTTAAGTATCCTTCTATCTCCTGACCTCATTCCCATATGCCATTCCATCTGTTAGAAATATTAGGGCACTAGAGTCATTAGTTATTAAGAAATTTAGAAAAAAATTATTTTACATTGAGAAGTATTTTTTTGCTCTCATTTTCATAAAACATCCTGGGTTTTCGAGGTATTTTCTTGGCATAAAGGTCGCCCTGTCTTTTCAGGATCTCTCCTTGTCTCAACAACTAATTTGTTGACTGAGATTGCTGTTTCTCGTCGAAGTCAACTGATACCCCAATGGACTACATTGTTCAGTTTGATTAGAATTTTGGGGGAATGTGGATGCTCTTGATAGTCCTAGGAATTGTTCATTGTTGACAGGAAAGTTCATTTAGTAGAAAGTGACTCGCCTTGATTTTTGGGATTCTAAATTAGTATCTGCAAACTGCATGAAAGCTACACTGAGATGAAGTGCTCTGGGTAAGGATTTGTTAAGTCGTCCTTCATCGTTCCATTCCTGGTTGTAGCATATTTTGTTGGAATTTGGAACTTTGCAGTAGAAGCACATTGTCGTTATGAGATCCACAGCTAAGGCTGAATATCGAGGTATGACTCGTACTGCTTATGAGATAACATGGATTCAGTCTCTTCTTTTAGAGTTTGGTTTGGTTCTTTCTCAACCAATTGTGATGTATTGTGATAAACCAGGTTGCCATTTATATTGCCAACAATCCACTGTTTCATGAGTGCAACAATCATATTAAGGCTGATTGTCACTTTATTCATGATACCGCAATGACCGACAATATTGTCATGTGCCATGTTTGGTTGATATATTTACTGAAGTTTTACCTAAGAAGAATCTTGTCATTTTTATATAAAAGATGGATATGATAAATATCTATGCTCCATTTTGAGGGTGTGTATTGGAGTTATTAGAGTATTATTTGGCATTAGTATATTAGGTCAGTTAGACAAATTTGTCTCCCATTGAAAAAATCATGTATTAATTGTGTACTACTTGCTCAATACTTTCGCTCCTATAAATAAACCTGACTGTCCCTCTCCTGGATATGAAGTCAGTAATTGTAACACCAAAAGCGAGAAACTTGGGCGTCAGAGGAAAATTCAAGGCTTCACACGATTCTAGTTGTAGCCAGTTCAATATGGTGGAAACAACTGCTTTAGGAGAAAACATCAAAAAAGATGACAGAATAAAGTTTCAAGCAGATTGTTTATAAAAGACAACAAGGCATATCTCGTGGTGTTTCCTGTGTTGGTGAAGTTACTCATGCCATGGCAACAGTTCGTCGAGAAACCTCTCTATCAGTATGTCAGTGTACATTTTGTGAAGTGTTCTCTGATCTAATCGCCTATACCAATCATTATGCTGCTAACCATGAACTCATGTCATCAACTCAAGGGAAATTTTGAACAGCTCTTCCATAATCCACTACATCGGTTCCTCCGTGTACTTCGAAATACTTTGATACAAAGTGCTGAAAACTCCCTCCCTCCCCTCCCTCATCTGATCTTCTAGATGGCACCAGAGCACTAAAATCTGATCTTAGGAGCAAAGGTGGTTACTATTATTTCTTTCGAGAACAAATTAAGTTTCAACATTATCACCAATCATACTACTAATAAATTAACAACTACGTATGACAGCACATTGTTCAGTACACTCTTTATACATGTTCAAAGTTAAATGACTGAGTGATATATTTGTCTAATATCTGCTATCACATCTAAGCAAGTACAAGCTTGGCCGAATCCACAAGGAAAACCCACGTGGGTCTTGCTGGGGTTCAGGTTTCAGAGGACTACCTGAAGATTTCAGTGAGAGAAGTCAAAAGAATCCCCTTGTGAAGGAGGCTTAATGGAGAAATTTTCTTCGGTAATTTGGGAAGAAAATAATTGCAGCCACGCAAGACATTCTCCTGACGCCAATGATGTGTGTGGGTGGGAGTTATTTACATATATACCCTTCATATCATATGTATTTCCTAATTTCCCGTATTCATACCTATAGGGTTAAAAAACTACTCGTCACTCTCTCTTCATCTCTTTCCTATAGGGTTAGAAAACTACTCGTCACTCTCTCTTCATCTCTTTCCTCTTTCTCTTTGCCTCTAGAACCCATAGTACTAATATATATATATATATATTATATTATTATATATATAGCTATATATATATATATTAGAGAGAAAGAGATGAGAGATGATGAGCAGGAGAAATGAAGAACCTGGTACCAAGTTTGCCTTTAAGCAACTTGCGTTATGATGTGGCCTAATCTTATCCCTACATCACACCTTCGTAGAGATAAGTCTCAACACCCTTCACCAACTGTAATGTAGATGTAGGACAAGATTAGGGCCACAATCTTACTACAGTTGTTGAAGCAACTTGTACCAAGTTCTCCTTTTTCTCATTATATATATAATATATTTATATTGATATATATATAGTATATACCTATGTATATTATTACATATTGTATAATATATATTATTATATTATTATAATATATATTATATATATATATATATTATATATACTATATATATAGGTTAAGATCTTTTGGGTGTTTTGTTTATTTTTTGTTCTTCTGTTTGTGTCCTGGTTCCCTTTTCTTTTGTATATTTGTTTTTTGCTTTTTTTGTTGTTGTTTGTTTGTATTCAACTGTAGCTTGATGTCCACTAAAACTTCCTACCACCCATTTATTAATCTAAAAATATTTTCTCATATCATGGTCAAGATCCAAGATCCCTAGGCAATATGAGTGGCTAAAAAATTTGGTGCGACAACTTTTGCCCTATCCACTTTAAGTTGACACAAGTTTTTATATATATATATTATATAATGACTTATATATATTAAATTATATTATTATATAAATAATAATTATATAGTATAATATTATATATATATATACTATATATATATATATATACCTTTCAAGCATTCATTTGTGCTTCTTCTTCAACTATTGAATCAAGCTACGCATATCTTCCTATGATGATCCACGTTCCTCCACTGCTCTCTTCACAATCTCCTCGAGCTACCTCGCTCTCCCCTCTCCTACTTCTTTCAGCTTAGATATCACCCTCCCAATCTTTTGTTGGCCTTTTTGTTTTAATGATATTTTAACAAATAATTTATAACTAATATTGTTTGTCTAGTGTTTGTGTTTTTTTATTTATTCTAAGCGAACAATGTATTGGAGGTTTAATGGAATTGAGCCATAATGATCATATCCAATGGAGGTTGGCAGAATATCGGAGTGAAGCAATACATTTCAGGTCAAGATCCAAGTTCAAGCTTCACCTAAGTTTACCAAGTCGAGCCATATTGAAGATCAGATTGCTTGGGTACAATAGTTTAGGTTTATACTTTGTGTGTTGGTACTTTAAGCTCAATCATATACACACATACACGTTTTGGTTTTATAGCTTTCAAGTTTATATAGATATGAAATAAATATACATTCATATACATATTTATATGTTTTATATTTATCATTTTGTCAAATGCATATTGTGCAAACTTTGTTTTTGCACAATATTAAGTTTTTGGTTTATAGACTTAACAATAATAGTTTATATCTTTTATCAAGTCTATAAAATTATTTTATAAAGTTTTAAAAGTTTGTTTAAGTCAAAATGACAAAAACAAGTGTTTTGTATTTTTATGTTTTTGGACATTTTTACAAAATGATGAATTTTCACTATTGAAAAGTGCAATTCTAAAAATTCTTTTTGTAACATATTTATTATCATGTTTATAAATATTTTTTAAAGTTTTATAATTTTTAGAATTTATTTGCTATTTTTAAATGCACTTTAAAAGTTAATTTTTGGACATGGACAATCCATGTGCATGTTCATAAGTCGACTTATCAGGTTTGATAAGTCAACTTATGAACTACTCTAGAAAGTGCATTTAGCCTCTGGCAAGTCGACTTATATAACAAAGCAAGTGGACTTATAGCAAGTCGACTTATGTTCCCAGACAAGTCGACCTATGAACTGTTTTTCAGTTTGATTTTTTTCTTCTGCAAGTCGACTCATGTGAACTGTTAAGTCGACTTATACCAAGTCGACTTATGATATTATTAAATCGACTTATAAATCTGACCGTTGCACAGTAACGACTACTTCCAGATTTTGTGTATTTTAATGATTTTTACGGGTTTTAGGGTTTTCTTGGGCTGGTTTCTTCCACCCTATATATACTCTATTGTCATAAAACTACTAAGAGAGTTTTAAAAAGAGTTGAAGTGTGTTTAACAATTGTTTAAAGTTTGTTTAGTTTGTTTAAAGCTTGGTTTGTGAAGATATTTTCACAAGAAGAAGTGGAGATTAATTCTTGGTGTTTGAGCTTCAATTCATCTCGCCTACTCTTGTCATTTTAGAAAAGTTTTTCTAAACTCAATTTCTAGCATTATATTTACATTGTTTATTGATTATCATCTCTGTAAGCTAGATTTTCATAATTAAGTTTAGTTTGTTTTGATTTATTCTCATTGTTCACACACAACCATTGAGCTTATTGTATTTGCATACATAGTATATATTGGGGTTGTGGGATTGTGACCTTGAGAACGAGCTTTCATTGTGTTTTCATCCATAGTAAAGAACAAATATTTGTTGTATTGAGCCTAATTACGGGATACACTTTGTAATACACGTGTACACCAAGAGGAGTGTGTGGTGAGAGACCGGATCGTCCCAAGAGGAGTGGCATCGGTAGTAAAGCTTAGGGAGAGGTTGTAAATCCAAGCACTTGAGGGAGACACGGGCTAGAGACCAACACTTAGAGGATGTAGAGTGTGATTGCAAGAG